GTGTTACAGGGCATATATGAGTGTCTCATTTCCCGCCCCCCATGCTCTCTCTCTCTCTCTCTCTCTCTCCACTATCACCGTACTAGGCAGACAAACATTGAACCGGTTCTGTCCATAGTAAAAAGGAAAGAAGGAAGAGGAAATTCAAGAGAATGAATGCATTCAAGTTCTCCATGAATGCAATGCCAGTAGCTAGGACAGCAGTGCGCAATAACGTATCCTTTCATCTTGTCCCTCCCTCTTCTATTCCCTTCTACGCATTCAAGTAGTAGTATCTATCTTGCCCTCACTCTTCCAAATAATATATTTGTAAAGATCTATCTGCATGTAAGGGCTTCCAAATCCCAACTAGTATACATACGACGTCGCATTTTATTAGTATATATGGGCTCACACATGCAAGTTTTATGCATTTTAATAGTTCTGTGGTGCCATTTTAGCTTGTCAACTATCTCATCTCGAATTTACGATAATGTCAATACATATTTATAATAATTGGGTTACTATAACACACAGGGATATTTACCGTAACGTTATAGTAAATCACTTAGTAAGGAGTTACTATAATCTTGTAAATTAACATAGTAATTATCGTAACTCAAAGTGGCTACAAAATAAGTTATTTTGTAGCCAGTTACAGGGTAATAGTTCTCTCTCTCTCTTTATATATATATATATATATATATATATATATATATATATATGTTTTTACAGATGCCTCCAAATTTTTTTTGGGGAGTGCTGGCGCCTGGACGTCCGATGGATACCGATCCATCGGACGGTGCCGCGGACGCAAGCCCCCGCACGTCTACGTGATGGAGGCTCACGCTGCTCCCCCATTTCTCTTATGTGCTCGTTTCCCCCGCGCTGCGCGCCCCCCAACTCACCCCCGCAGCCCGTCCCCATAGCCCGCCGCGTCCGCCTTCGCACCGCCCCACGTGCGCGACGAAGTTGCCCCATCGCGCCCCCTCACCGCAGCACCCCCATCCGCTTGCCCCCAATGCTTCCGTCCACTATCCCTCCGGCGAGCCACGCGCCCCTGGCCGCCTGGCTCGCCCCCCGGCCGAACAACATAGAAAGCTGGAATAAAACACGTGCAACAACACGGAAACAACTACTGCAATGTTAGGCTAAAGCAGCTGAAACACCATGAACATATTATTGCAACAATACGAAAACAACTACTGCAACATTAGGCTAAAGCAGCTGAAACACCATGAACATATTATTGCAACAATACGGAACAAACTGCTGCAACAATAGGTTGAAGAAGCTGAAACATTTGGAACATATTATTGCAACACTGGGTGTGAAGCATATGAAACAACGCTCGAATAAAAACACTTGCAACAACATGGAACAACTACTGCAACATGAGATTGAAGCAACTGAAACATTTCAAAAATATTATTGCAACATTTGTGCCAAGCATATGAAACATCCAGATCAGAACGATTGCAACATCATCTAGAAACAAGTGAAACATTTTGAAACAGTGCCTGCAACAAAACCTTCGAAACAAAATGCAACATGGGCAAAACATCCCCCAGATCTACTTGTGCAACATCCTTACGATTCAACTACAACATACCTCTGAAGCGTCTGAAACAACTGAAAGATACAATTGCAACATATAGAGGGGGAGAGAGCCTGCACGGGGAGCCCCATGGCTGCCAGATCTGAGGGCATCAGGAGCTCCCTGTGGGTGAGGACGCCGGTGTCGGGGAGGGGCGCCACTGGTGTGCGGAGGAGGGACCCGGGATGTGGGAGGAGGACGCCGGGGTTGGGGAAGGAGACGTCGGTGTGGGCGAAGGAGTCGCCATGGTGGGGGAGGACGTCGGTGTCGGGGAGGGGCGCAGCCGGGGTGGGGAGGAGGGAGCCGCGGGGTGGGGGAGGAGGACGCCGGCGTCGGGGAAGGAAACGTCGGTGTGGGGGAAGGAGCCGCCGTAGTGGGGGAGAAGGACACCGGAGTGGGAGAGGATGCCGCCACCGCCGGCCTGGAAGGGAGCGAGGTGTGTGGAGGACGGGCGGAAGGCGGGGAGGAGCGCGGCCGCTGGCTCGCGGCGCTGCGGAGCGCAATCAGGGGCGCGCGGGTCTCTTGGATCCATGGGGGGAGGAGAGGGAGAGGAGCGGAGCAGCGGCAGCGGTAGCGAACGTGTGGACGGGCGGAACTGCAGTGCGAGCGGATAAGACCGTGAGAGACGAGTGGAGGAGGACGCGCGGCGCCGTATCGAATCGTTATACGACGCGCGTTCGGAACCGTTGGACGTCAGAGTCATAGCAATACCGAATTATTTTTCCAGGGGCGGGTTCACTTACCAAACCATTTCTAAATAGGTCGAGAGCATTGTAGCTTACAAACTATCTGTGGAAATATATTTTCGGGAGAAGTTTTGTTAGGTGTACCACTCTTAGAAATATATCCATTTTCAGGGTCGGACGACTTAAAATAATGGCCCTTGAAAATATGATTTCTATCTATTCACATGGGCGGTTGAGTAAGCTTGCCTTGTGCTACATCCAGAGTTTGTAGTTAAGTGAGTTGCTCTGTGCATGAATGATTTTAGTCGAGTGGAGAACCACACCCGGAGTTACTAGCAAGGTGGTGTCAGCCGAAATTTAATTGGAAAGATGGATCACTTTGGAGCAGTGGCTACCCCTACACCGATCGAGAAAACCTAGAACATGATTTTCTTGGTGAATCAAGGTCTATGACAATGGTTATTGGAGGCTTGAGTTGGCACATTGGTGCAATCTCAGGTGACTTGTTTTGGATTAGGGCTACGTTCTAGCAATGGAGAGGAGAAGGGCTTATGATTCCATGGATGAAAGTGATCTAGGCGAGAGTGAGGAGGGTGACCACAGTACATTAGAACATGAATTACTTTTTCAGGCCATTCACATTTCAATTGCCTAGGCCTTTCTGTTTTGTAGATCGCTTCTCCCTTTGTGGAAGAACCAAGTTGATGCCAAACCGAGTGAGTTAAGCCAATAGTGAAGCCACAAGGTGTCCACATCTGATTGTTTACACGCCAGATGGAGCTAAGTGGGAATATAAAAGTGTACAGTATGTACTTACAAATGAGATGTGTGTGGGTATCCATTAACCCTACTGACCTGCATTTGGTTTTGTGGAAGATATAGTCACCATGAAACCATTTTTTGCTAACAAATAAATTCATGATCGTTATATACAAAAGAACATTCAAATCTGAATGCAGTGTGTTGTTTTCTAATACAAAATACACTACACAATGCTCAGCTATCTTTTTGGTATAATATGTCGCAAAAATTGAATCTCTAAATGTGTGTGCACGCTTTATAAAAGAGAAATAGGGAGCAGTGTGTAGGGGTGAGCTTATCAGAAAATTCAAAACTATAACAAACTACGAGAAATTAGGCGATTTTATCTATGAAGAGATAGACACCGAAATTCACATGAACAAGGACTTGATTGAACCCCCGTGGTCGCTAGGCCTACTACATCCACACTCTCAACTAACTAGGCTAGCTAGGATGTCCGTAAATGTAATAACAAAGGTGTAGATATCCTCATTTAAATTTAGTAGGATGGAATATCTGTGCATGCATGCAATTCAAATGAGCCTTGTGCAGGCATGGAACTATATTTATATCTATACTTAATAATAAATTGTGAAAATGTTTTCTTCAGTCTCTCACTCTCTCCTCTGTCCACCCGCCTCTCATGTAGTCACTTCTCTTCTATCTCTCTTACTCACTCTCACTCTTCTTGCTTTGGCTTGGAGCTGCAAAACCTTCGTCGGCACCGCACCACTCATGTTATGGTCTAGCCGTCTGAACCCGTACACGTTGCGGCATGTGTGGTTCGCTTTTCACTTTTTTAAACTTACAACAAGCACGCACAGTAAGAACATATTTAAGTTGAGTTAATCCTCTCTGTCATTTATCACAAAAGATTAATTCTTGCTTTATTGCATTAACATTTATTATGGGCACTAGAATATATCCGATTTAAGGTTGGGCTAAGCCCAATTAAACCCAACAAAAATATCTAACTCGTTATCATCGCCACAAAATGGCACAACAAATCGAAGTTCTGTTGTAACACACGGCCATGCTTGTTAGTATCCCAAAGAAAGCAAAAGCTAGCAACCCCAATTAACATGCAACTTTTTTCTCTACTTACAAATTTATATTAACCTGCTGTTAGTTCAAAAAGTTTGTGTCAACTTTTTTTCACATAGCTAACCAGCTTTTACTTGTGGCAGAGCATGTAATTTATCTCTGTGCGCGACCACCGCCAATTTATTTCCCATGGTCAGTAGTAAGACTGTAGCTAGCACTGGTGCCGTTGGTCAAAGGGGATCACTGCAAGCTCTGGCCGTTTTGATGTGCACCAATTTGTCTCACACACGCTGCCTAGCCTTCTTTTCTCTGTCGGCCCGCCTTCATTCATCTCTCGCTCATTACTGCATGCATATATGCGTTGTTGCTTTGACATACGATCGACCATTGGATCGGCAGCTGCGCATGGCTGGACATGATGCTCCCTAGCCCTAGAAGCTAGCTAGCTAGCTAGCTAGCTAGCTAGCTACCTCTATATAACTGGAGGATCTACCCGGCCAGCTTCCATCCCAGTCTCATCCTCGTCCTAGCAAACCTCAAAGACATAGACTGTAGGAACACACGGCATTTGGCAGCTGATCGATCGAGTTGTGTGTGTGTGGGAAGTTGCCTGTGAGCTACATATATCAGAGTATATCTGTATGTCTATCTAGCTATATTTACCAGCATTATTATATTTAGCTCATGACAGACTCTGCTGATCGATGCATATACGATTTGCAGGTAGGTAGCTAGAACAACTTCTTAGAACACATATAGCTAGCTGTCGTCGTTCTGCAGTTAGCACACACACACAACCAAGCTACCTAGGATCGAGCTAGCTAGCTAGGCGTTGAATCCATTGATCGAATCGATCCGATCCATCCGAGCTAGCATTAGCAATAGCATCCTCCATGCCGCAGACACCTTCGACCCGTTGGTGCCCGACGCCGGAGCAGCTGATGATCCTGGAGGAGATGTACCGGAGCGGCGTGAGGACGCCCAACGCGGCGGAGATCCAGCAGATCACGGCGCACCTGGCCTACTACGGCCGCATCGAGGGCAAGAACGTCTTCTACTGGTTCCAGAACCACAAGGCCCGCGAGCGCCAGCGGCTCCGCCGGCGCCTCTGCTCCCGACACCAGCAGCAGTACGCTCAGCAGCAGCAGCAGCAGGCCACCGCAGCAGCGCCGGCTTCGAGCCCTAACAGCAGCGCCACCCTTCCGTCTCCGGCAGCAGGCGGCAGCAGCGCCGGTGTGCATCCGGCGGTGATGCAGCTGCACCAGCACCACCACCCATACGCAACCAACTTCGTGCCACACCTGGTAGGCATTTTAATTGTTCACGTTCCAGTATTTTCTAGCTATATAGAATCATATATAGTATCCATTTTAATTTTGCAGCTTGCTATAAGTGCATGCTTGATAATGTATGTATATGTCCATGTTCATCAATTGATTATTAGGGCTACTTGGGGCAGCAGGCGTCGACTGTTCCGCCAGTGCTGAACCCAGCTGCTGCCGGCATGGTGGACCTTGCAGCTGCAGGAGCAGGAGCAGGAGCAGGAGGAGGAAATAAGGCTACTGGTGTAGGCGGTGCCTATGGAGGTGGAGCTTCGCTATACAACAGCTGCAGCAGCAATCAGCTGGAGGAGTGGGACGCCGCAGAGGCCATGGAGCACTGCAACGCCAGCTGCGGTGCGGCATCGGGCAGCTCTGACGAGGGTGGCGCAGCTCATCTCCAGCTGCCGCCATGCTGCCGCCGCTCTCTCAAGACCTTGGACCTCTTCCCCACTAAGAGCACTGGGCTCAAGGATGAGTGCAGCAGCTCCAAGTCCTCCTCTTGCTCCACATCCACCAACTAATTAATCGTTATGTTTGAATCCCTTTAGTTTCTATATATCTTGCTTCTAGTAGTTCTTTGATTTGCTAGCTAGGTAGCTAGTAGATTCGGTCATCTCAAGTGTGTCATTATATTGTTGTGTTGCGTGTGACGCCGCTACCTCTACTTTCCTTGTTATAACTACGTTTAAGTTTTTAGTACTCGACCTCAATCTATATGTATCTATATCTTAGTGCAATGGATTTGTTTTAGCACACTACGACCTATGCTCCATTTACTCAATAGCGACGAGCGAATGAACGAATGACTTGTATATGGCTATATATAATTTACCTTCTTCCTCTTCTCTAGTGATGACTCCTTTATTATCGAGAGTTTATCAAGCCAAGTCTTTATCTTCTCCTAAAGTTAATTGCAATGTGAAGGGCTGAAGACTAAGAAATTGCCACATCATCTCAAATTATTCATACAGCTACATAAGCATCCATTGGACAAACATTTTTTTTTGAGTTATTAAGAGTGTGTATGTGAATAAATATATCTTATTATTCGGATGTGGAAGTTCTAATTTCTTTTGAATCAACCATACATCTTAGGTACCAAAAGTGTCATGCCTCAATTGTCAAGACTCAAGGATGTGTTTTGGCCTCCCACCAAATTTCAGAATCTTTTGAGAAAACTTGAGTATTCGTCCTTCCAAATTTTCATGTGATCTTAAAATTTATCCCACATATTCTACATTATTTTATTCAAAATTCTGGAGCTCTATAAATAATTTTATTAATACAAAGATTATTTTTCGCAATTGTTTCAAATGAAAACAAAATAATGCCACTCCATTAGCCTCGGTCAATTTTAGCTCATTTCTTTCCATCCTCGGTCATACCTCGTTTCAACCCATGGACCTTCTGATCCCTTCATGGCTGAAATGAGACAGGAGAGAGGAGGTAATGAAATTTGCTGAAATCAGCACAATGCTAATGTATTTATTTATTTTTCATTAAAAATAATTACAACAAATGTCATCTTTATGTTATTTTAATTACTTCTGGATGCCTAAAAATTAAAAGAACATTCCAAAGTATATTTTAGGGAATCAATAACTTGGAAAAAATATGTGCAACAATGATTACTAAGAAAAATAAACAATTCACCGTTCTAATGACTTTGTTTAATAGATTTGCACATCAATGTAAATTCTAAAAATAATTTAGTATTTTTTATTTTTTTATGTCGCAGAAGACATGTATTTATAGTTAGTACTGATTTCTTGCAGTGACAATTTACATAAGAAACCACCTCTAACTAGAATAGGGAGCATTGTAGCTCACAGTCACTTAAAATCCATTTGCAGCGGCAGTTTCGTTAAGAAAACTGTACCTAGAAATGTAACAACTTTTAAGTGAGATCCTATTAAGAAATCCAACCCCTGAAAATGTGATTTTTCAGGGTCTTAAGAGAGAACCGGCCCTAGAAATTTCTAGGGGTAGTTCTCTTAATAGAATCGCCCCTAAAAATAATTTAGAGGACTAGTCCTCTATCTTAGTGAACCATCCCTGAAAATAACTCCCTATAAAGCCTCCTTTCTTCCTTGCAACAACTCTAGGTATCACTCTATTGGGATTTGGGAGCTCACTAGGAGGCGGTGATGCATGCTTAAGTACCAGTTTTTTTTACAATATACATGTTGATATTGTGAATTGCTTGTTTTGGGATGCCCTGTCAAAACTTGCAGTATTTTTTCTGTCTTAGCAGATAGTAAGGAGATATTCAGTAGCAGTTATATGAATAGCTAGGTTGTTAAAAAATGGTTCCAACAAGACGAGATCATCAGTCCTCTTCTCAAGTCAAAGTCAAAAAATGCACCCAGAGAGGATTAGAGAATCTGGATTATTTTCTTGAGAAACTGGACAGAGAATCTGGATGGTGGAGCAGGACAAACTCTTATTAGGATCTGTTGGATAAAGCGCAACTCATAAAAACTTACTAGAAAAGCAAGCCCATGAACTTGAACTTGAAACTGTGGATTCAACAGCAAAGCTCGCAGGCCCAGCCCAAACATGTCTTCTACTAGGAAGAGCAAGGCCGGGCCCAGCAAGATAAATGGATTTCGGGTTTGTTTGTTTTGAGGCCTCCATAAGTTAGTGGAGAAGAAGTGTTGCTGGGAGGTCAACATTTTTTTATCTAGCCAGGCAAAAAAACTTGAAAAATGTCAGTTGGGTTAGTTAGACTAAGTGGTATATGTCTGACTATGTAAACACAAGCACTATTAGTTCAAAATATTTGTAGCTTGATTCAACAAGGGCGAATAACACATGTGATTTAAGGGTCACATGAATAACACATGTTGCTGGGGTGGCGAGCGTCGGGCGGTGAGCGACGGATGTGGAGCGGAGATGGGGCGGCGGACCTGGAACTGGGAGCGACGGGTCACAAGGGCGCGGGCCGCGGCGTATTTGGGATAGGGAGCGGGGGTGGCGGCCGCTCGAGGATTAGGTTTAGGGGTTTTTTTGTTTTTGTTTTACTTTCTTTTCTATTTCATACCGCGCCAATACCAAAAGGCAGGCGCCATTATCAAAAACCGGGCGCCAAAGCCAAATCCATGCGTAGAACTTATTTTTTCTGTGCGTACATAATTTTAATCTGTGTGTAATACAAAACCGACAGAATAATTGTGTTTTTTCCGTGTGTGTATAGTTTTTTCATGTGAGTTTTATAAAAACCCATAGAATAATTTCAATTTTTCTATTAGTGTATATTTTTTCGTGTCTTTTGTCACGCACAGAAAAATCATACAATTATCCTGTGAGTTTTCGTATTTTTCTGTCGATATATTCTGGAACCGATAGAATAATTGGAATTTTTCTGTATGTAGCGAAAAAAAAACACACAGAAAAATTGGTCACCCATAGAGCAATTCGAGATTCCAGTAGTGAAAGGAATAACTTGCTAGCTTGTCATATACCTCGTTAGAGCTGAGAATACCTAGAAACATGCTTAAAACCTTAAGCATCCACCAAATTGTAATACCCATGGAAAGAAACCTCTTAAATTAGAATTATTGGAGACGCTCTGTAGATCGACGATGAATATGGCAAGTTCCCTTTCCTCACTATCGCTGGGGAGGTAACCGGATCTGGAGAAGAACAAAGAGTAGTGTCAAGTAGCTAGAACCAAAGTCACTAGAGCCATCGCGATAAGGAGTGGAAGAAAGACATTGGTTGTTTGCATAGGTCGATTCTTATATATAGGTCGTATCTTTGTAATGGCAATGGCCGTTATGTTTTATCAATTTTTGCCTATATTGATGTCATCTTAGCAAAAGACCCAACATTAACAAAGGCAGCATAAAATCCGCTAATACAAATAAAGGAATAAAAATTATCCAACATAGTTCAGACCCAAGTCAAGAGAGCCATCACATCAAGGAGTAGCATTACAATTTTTTGTTCTAATTGGCTGATCCTTATATATGTTTTATCTTTATAACCACAATTGCCATCTCTTAACAATCTTTGTCCCGACGTGCATAGTCCTCAAGGCAATGTATTGATTTACTAAAGGTGCAATGGTTGATATGTTGCAATCTTGTATTCCTTCCTAAGGAGTCTCTTAGCAATCTTGTTAACTTATTATCATTGCATAAATAACACCCAAGGTGGAACCATAAAAAAGATAATGTAAGCTTGGCTTGCATGGTATGTGTCAGGATTAATCACTAGCACTATTAATGGCACTCCCAAGTGTAAGCAGACTTTTCCTTCTTGAATCTTGAGTTTGATCCTACAAATAGATTGCAAAAAAATGTTAATTATATATTGTTCACTAGTGCATCTTAATCATGGTATTTAGGCAAGGTGTATGAAGAAAACCAAAGGCACATTTGAGTGTTCAAGAATGCCACCCTTTGTTGTGAGGTACGATGATTCCATGTTGATTTCTCTGTGTGAAAGATTCTCACACGTTTCTTTTACAAATAGATAGAACCAACCTTGGGATGCCAGGCTAAGAGATGCAACTAAATACAACAACTAAATAGGTTATAACAACTTAGCATCTCTTCTAACTCTAACAAAAAACCCTAAAGACTGTTATATAGATTTACATAACCATGAAGATAAGGTTATCTAACACGAGACACCAAGGGCCAAATTAGACTTACACAACCTAGAGGTATGTTGTCAAATCTGGCAAGGCCAATGAGATTAAGAATTTCACAACTGATCATTTAATCACTCTCAGTGTTAGAGAAAATAGACTACAAGCAACTACTTTTCTTGTTGAGGAGACTTACTAAGTTTTAGTCTCATCTTATAGTCTTTTTTCATTTTAAATATCTGATGATTCTCTTGATTGCTACCCAATGTACTATTCTTGGAGCTGACAAATTAAACCTTATTAACTACAAAGGAAGTATGTAGTCTTATCAGAACCCTCATATACTTAGTAACATAATTGGAGCCGAGGAGAGAACCCACATTCAATTACGAAATGGTGGAGCAATGGATACCAAAATATATCATGTGTGGATATAGTGACTTGCATCTCATGAGGACCTTGACATTGATGTTCTTTGCCCTAGCCCTGTTGAAGGAGGAGATGTAGCGATGGTGATGGTGGAAGTGGCTTTGGTTGTGGAGGACTTTGGCTACTGGGAAACCTTGACATCATTTTTCATGTTGTTACCTCAAAAGATAGGGCTCGATCTTGATGCCCTGTGATAAGCTTGTGAGTAGAAGCGAAATAGGAGCTCCTGGGCATATGGGAGGAGATGGATAGAGGGGCCATGGATACATACTTGGTTGTTCGCCTCTAACTCAACATGGGCTGGAGATCTCTGATGAGGCCCAATATGCATATTATGTTTGAGTCCATCTCAAACTCCAGGAGTAGTCTTTACTAAAATAGATGCACAGGACCCATTATAGACTATTTTTTATGTTCTACCTACGCACAGAAAGAGAAAAAGAAAACCTAACCAATGGTGTTGGTTTCATGTCAAAATTCTTTCAGAATCAAAGG